AATAGTATTGACACACTTTGATGTAAAATTCCACCGTGTAGGAGCCAAACGAGGTAACCGTTTTTTTACAACCCTATCCAAAACGCTTGTTCTTTTTGTAGAGCGGGAGAAGTAAGCAGAAAATGCAGAGAGATTGGCAAAAAAAACTCTTACAGCCTTATCTATTAAGCAACACTTTTCAATTATTAGATTTAATTGGTGCGAGTAGCAGTTAATATATTGGGTATTTGCATAGATGTTTTTAATTTTAGCTTGTACCCCTCCAACAATACCACTCATTAGGGAAGCACCATCGTAATTTTGAGCTATTAGTTTTTCAGGTACTTTGTCAATTCCTAGTTCACTTAATACCTCCAGAATTGCCGCCGAAAGCCCGTCTGCAGTGTGATCCATTGTTTTCAAAAAACTCCAAAACCTTTCGTATTATAACAATTATATATCACACTTATCAAACGGATTACCGAAATGTACGGCTCCAAAATATCAACTAGCAAAACCACACGGTAGAGCTAAGTTGAAGGTAAACAAATAAACCATCGGTACAGCACGTCACGATGAGGACACGCACGCAGTAATAGGCCCGAGTCGAATATGTTCCCATCCTGTTAAACTGGATCGAAACCTACTAAACCCTTCCATCCACCCCCAAGCTTTTTCATCCGCTGCTTGGTCCTCATTTCAATAGCATTTGATTGGCACGTGTGTCGTCAGGACAGCGTGAGGACAGCGCCCCCACTTGTGACTTATAATACAACGCATCTGTTCATCTCTTGCTAAGCGACATTGTCGTTGTCCTTGTTTTTCGCGTTATAATGAGAGAGAAAACAACAGAGGCACACATTTACTGTGCCCTGTGCCTATATTCTACTTAATTTCGGCATTCTTGGAACGTCGCTCAACGCCCGGTCGTCCAGTGTCGTGCCAACGCGGTTTGCGCTAAATATTAGTTAAAATAATAATTGAGGAAAATATAAAATATGTAAGTTATTATGTTTTTTGGTTTATTATACTAGGGCACGTGCCCAAGTTCCCTTACGGGCAAACCGCCACTGGTGTCAAGATTGTTATTTTTAAACTATCAAGTTTGAAAACGCATAAAGCAACTCTGTATATTGTTACTGTGTTTTCAAACTGAATAGCTTAAACATTATTAATATTATTATTAAACACAATTAAAGGCAGATAACTAGGTACTTATTCTACGATTTCAAAAGAATAGACAATAGGAACATTTCAGAATTGCCATATAACATCAAAAGAAGAATATCTTTCATCATAAAATTATGAAAAAAAAAAAAAAAAATTTTAAATACATAATTCTTACTTAACCCTATAATATATAATGCTTAATCCATTAGCGCCCAGTGATGCCGTTTGGCATCGCTGAAAGCGAGGGGCGAACCTCTCCCGAAATACTGGTACGTTTTCGCTACCTACACCTACAAATTCTCTCGAAATCGCCGAAATGTATGTTTTTGTGTTTTAGTAGGGTTCAAAATATTTTTTATAAGGAAAATGACGTTTCCTTTTTTCGTAAAAAGTTTTACTCTTCTGTTAATAAAATAGACCAAGACAACTTCATTCGACAAAATGTAACGATTACGGCTGTAAAACGTCATCGCCCACGCAACAACAATAAAGAAAACTGCAGGCAATTTACTGTTAAATATCGAATTCCTTCAAGGAAGAACAAAATGTTCTGTTTGCAGTAAATCATTTTTTAACATATTGCGAATAAAACCATACCGAGCTCAAGGAGTTCTAAAAAGATCTTTTGTTTCTGGATCAATAGCCAAAGAAAACCGAGGTGGCGATAGGAAAAAATTCAACTTTGCATCTCGTAAAGAAGTGGTACAAAATTTTATAAAAAAATTTCAACCTTTGGAGGCCCATTACTCCAGAGGAAAAATTAAGCAGCGTATATATTTAGCACTTGAAATAAACATAATCAAAATGTATCGAATGTATAACGATGAAGCACTCTCAGGATATGAAGTAAAAATAGGATTTTTTAGAAAAGTATTTACTACATCTTTTAATATAGGGTTTGGTTCGCCTCGCCAAGTTGTCTGTTCAACGTGCCTACAATTGAATGTTTTAAATTGACTACTAATGTAGCTGAAAAGCAAAAATTGCGTACAGAACATAGGATTTCATAGACTACGAGCAAAAGCCTTTTGCATCTTACTGAAAGATGAGAATCCTGTAAGGGGTTTTCTCGCCACAGAGAAAACGGTTCCTTACGAATGACGCTGGTTACGGGCAGTTCTCGAGCGCCAGATTTTTGGTGATGGTTTACTCCACGAACTTTCGAAACGGCGTCGAAAGTACTCGAGTAGCTACAGATGGAGATGAAAAATTCCAGGGGTCAAAGGTCACTTAGACACAGGTAATAGTAGGCCACAAGTAACGGGCTTTAATCGTTGCTTGGGCTGGTACAGAATTAATCACTAGCTGAAGTATAAGGGGGAAATAAATTTAGGAATTAACAACCAGTAATACGGCCAGTTAACATTGACACATATTATTTTAAAGTATTTACAAAAGAAGAGGAATAAATTTATGTATTTCAACGCCCACCCTCACGGTAATATGTACAAACCCTGAACAAAAATAAACAAACAAAAAGGACGGAAATGACTTTCGAGTAGTCTCAATCAGACGTAAAGAAAAAAAATGAAATCAATACTTGTAATTATCACGGTCGCAGTAAAAGTTTATTATTGAATTGTCTATTCTGTTGTTGAGTTAAAAATGTAACTTGCTATTTCGTTCGGAAGTATTATTTCGGTCGTAGCAAAAATTAACTGTTAAATTTTCTAATCGGTATTTACAAACAAATGTAATTGAATGCTTCGGTAAAGCAAAATATCATATGCGGTTGCAGAGAATGCGAGGAGACAGGTTCGGGACAATACTAATTCCAGGGCTGAAACCGGGACCCTATAAGAGGTTTACTCACTAGTGGTTGGAAAGTAAAACCAACTAACAACCGGGATAGTACATTATCTCTGAGTGAAGCGATCGTAATCACGAGCCGCTTCAAACTGGGGAATGATACTATTTAATGTCAATTAAATAACGGAGTTTTACATAAAAATAAATTTAATAACCGGGATAACACGTTACCTCTGAATGAGGCGATCGTAATCACGAGCCCCTTCAGACAGGGGAATGATACTATTTGAATTCACTTACAATAACGGAGACTAACGCAAATGAGGGTTTCAGACTGAAAATAAACTAATAACCGGGATAGCACATTATCTCTGAATGAGACGATCGTAATCACGAGCCGCTTCAGACAGGGGAATGATACTATTTTAGTTCTGTTAAAATAACGGAGACTTACGCAAATGAATTTTTAGATATAAAATGAACTAATAGCCGGGATAACACCTTATCTCTGGATGAAGCGATCGTAATCACGAGCCGCTTCAAACTGGGAATGATGCTATTTAAATTCTCTTAAAATTTGCAGTTCGGAGGATAAAACAAACGAAAATGCCTCGTCGCAATTCTACAAATATAACCAATCAAAACATTAGACAATTCCCAAACAGTTCCAATCAATTATTTATTGGATAATGTTTTTAATAAACTGTATTATTTGTTCACGGAAATTTCCTGCAGTAGGAAAAATTAACTATAAGTCTATATTTACGATTAAATGAAAAATAAATTATTTAACGGTTATGCCTTCAAATAAACTAAAATTAAATTTATAATTTATTCACATAAATTTCCACTAGTAGGAAAAATTAACTATACGACTATATTTACAATCAAATGAAAATAAATTATTTACAGTTAGAACTTTAAATAAACTAAAATGAAATTTATTAGTTATTCGCGGAAATTTCCAGTAGTAGGAAAAGTTAACTATACGACTATATCTACGATCGAATGAAAAATAAATTGTTTAACGGTCAAAACTTTAAATAAACTAAAATGAAATTTATTATTTATTCACAGAAATTTCCAGTAGTAGGAAAAATTAACTATACGACTATATCTACGATTGAATAAAAAATATAAATTGTTTAACGGTTAAGACTTTAAATAAACTAAAATGAAATTTATAAAGAACGGTGTATTCTAACAAGAATAAATTAAAGTATTTCTCAATCAAAACAAATTCCAATTCCTAACTCAACACGGAATATTGTTATTTAAAAATAAATCAAATTAAATCGGTTTCAAATAGCACGGCTTAAAGACTCTGGCAAGAAAGAAATTATAAAAAAAAAATGACAACAAACTTTACCTTTCGGTAAATTCGCGGCGTGAAATAAATTTCGGAATCGTATCTAGCGTTTAATCGACTATTCAATTTGACGGTGTAAAAGCAAGTCTGTTCGATAAATCGGTATATTAGGAACTAAAAATTTTATTTCCATTTTCCATCTCGGACCACGTTTAGTCGTCGCATCCCTTCCACATCAGAAAATCCCACCATTAAAACGCGCGCGCAAAGTTCCTCGACGATGGTTTGAACAGCGATTAAAACTGATGATATACAGGGTATATCCACGAAGTTAAAATTAAGTAAAAATCGAAATTAATACCCGGAATTAGTTAAAAAAAAATAATAATGAAAATTGACTTCATTACAATCCAAGTTTAGATTGTAAGTTTTGACTGCCAAAAAACCTACCACTTCCAAAGATCTCCGATCAAGCTACCTATTACTCACGCCAGCTATATCTATTAGGGTGTTTATTTCCGAAAAATTTTGTTTTTTTTTCGGTGCTCAAGCAAAATATTAATCTACATATAGAAAAAGAAATTCTCTCCAAGTTTAAGCTCTTAATATAAATTTTAAGTACTTACTATTTAAATTTAAAGTTTTACCATTTTTCATGCATGAAATGGTTGCATGAAACCAAAACATCTATTTCTGAAGTTCAGTTAATATTTCCTGTTACAGGACATTCATTTTTGCCCCAGATAGGGTATTTGCTTTTACTGAAAAACAAATCCGGCGCAGAGAGTGCATTATGCTTCCTAAAGAGTATATTGACATTATATCCGAGCATGCAACTGTTCATAATGTTACATCGGACATTGCTGTCTTGAATTGGAAATCTGAATGTAAGAACTTATTGAAAATCACGCACAATTGGCATTTTCAGATAAACAAGTGTAAGAGGAATATTTTGTGTCGCAGGGCTAAAGAAATTTTTGTACGAGGGGAAATATCTTACCGCAGTGATTTGTTAAATCCTGCTTCTTTGATGAAAAAAGGGAAAAAGCTCACAGACTTCATGCCTAGGCCTGTCCCCCTTGGTAGTCAGGTAAAAGCTGCTAAATTGGAAGATGTAGATAAACTAGTGAAAAAACATTACGGCAATGATTGGCAAACTACTGCGAACTTAAAATTTTATAAAGATATTATAACACTAGGACCTGGTGAAGTTGAAGAGACAATGAATGACTCTTCAGATTATTTACTACAAGAAGTTGTAGATTTGGTTTAATTTTGAATTTTATTTGTTGTATTTAAATTTTAAGTGATTGGAAGTCATAGTTTTTGTTTAATTTTTAATTTATTTGTTGTATTTCAATTTAGTTTTGAAAATCCTACAATTTGTTTAATTGTTTAATTTCTAATTTGTTTCTTATATTTCAATTTTAATTTACATTTAATCTGGTTATGTTTTTGGTTTCAAAATAGCAACAATTTTATTATCCTGAAAAGGCGTTATTAATGTTAGTGTGTTTTTTTTTAGGTATAATAACAAAAAATGTTCTGAGTCCGTCTTCGTAACACTATGTTTTATCAAACAACGATAAGTCCAACTTGTTTGTTTCAAAATCCAATATATCCAATGGGTTATTTTTCAAACTACGATAAGTCAAAGCCGTATTTTTCAGACAACTATAAGTCCACAATTAAATCAGATTTTACACATTATTACTAAGTATTTAATGATAGTTTTGTTATAAAATATGTCATAAACAGTCACTTGTAGCGAATTGTAATGCAACATCTATTACAAAATTCAATAAAAAATTATTAATATGAAATTCGCTCTTATCTTCGTTTGCACTTCGTTGGACATACGGGAGTTTGAAATTTATGGACTCATTTATTCTTACTATTCGTCATGTTATCATGGGCATCGATTGGGGGGGGGGGGGGGGGGCAGTTGCGTAAGAGTGTAAGATATGCATTACGAACAAAAATCTCATAGAAATAATATTCAGGTTAATAAAATGAGCAACCGAAGTTGCTATGTTGGAAATTGTAAAAATACTAGCAAAAAACTGTAAATTATGTAAATTTTCAGTAGCAAAATGGAAATTAAATTAAATCAAATAAATAAATGGATAGCTGTATAATAATAAGAAAAAACCTTTATTTTTGTAATACTGGAAATAATACACCACAGAAAATTGAAAGGTTTTAAATAAACAATAAATTATTATTTTACGATGTTCTTCAACATCCCTAAATTTTAAATGTTTAGCAAGGATTAGATTTCTGCCTTTGATTATTGTGTATATGGCTGAAATGTAATCTTGTGACTTATTGATAGTAAATCAATTTAATCATTAATTTCTATGGGTTCTTTCGAACTAAAAATGAAGAAAATATAAAAATTACAATCGCAAATATACCAAATATTTTTTTAATACGTTTTGATTCTACGTTATTATATAATGGTAAAGTTTTTATTTTGACATTATTTACCTATTCTTCAATGATATCTTATTAGGCTTAGGCAACATCTCATACATTTTCTCGTAAATACCTGTCTCTGTTTTATTATTGATTTTTATTGATTATACTACTTTTTTTTTAGCTGAAGTAATAAAAATATATAATAATAATAATAGATTCATTTTTTCACTTGTTTTACAAATCCATATACTTTTATTAAAATATTTTTTAATTACGAATTCTATTAAAAATTGTATTGCCAGTATACGCAAATATCGTTGTTAGTTCATAAAATAGTTGGCGATGCTGTCACGCACGGAGCGAATAAAGAATGAAAATACAGTGTGTTGCATTTGAAAAAAATTGAGTAAATTGAACTTAAAATTAGCCATATTTAAGACATGTTTCAAAACACTCTGTATAGAATAAATCAGTTGTATCATCTCTATTCGTTAGCTTAGTATTTTATAAGTTTGTATATTAAACAATTTTGAAATTAATTTAAACCTACCTAAATTATGAAAATATGTAATATTTTTTAAAAACATTCTAAGGTTAAATTTCCAAGTCATTCTGAAAATAAATTAAAATATAGGGTGTTAAAAAACATAAATTTTTATTTGTCAGGCAAAAACGCAACACCCTGTATATCCAAAAATATTTTTAAAGTATGTATTTTTCAAATCCATATAACTTTTACTAAAACTTGTTTGCAATAACACAAATTGAAATATTGAACAATTACGAACTAATGGGACCCTGTATATAAATTTTAATTTTCAATTTGCAGGAATATTATTATTTTAGATGACAATGTTTGAGAAACTCTTTGTTTTATTGTATTTATTTTATCTTTCTATTTTTGATTAATATAACATTTAAAAAAATTTTTGATGTTGACTATTGCTTGGTGGGGGGGGGGGGGGTAATTACCCCCATTACCCCCCTCTTATCTACGCCCTTGACCCAGTAACTTCATTCTACAAAATGTAACGATTGCGGCTGTAAAACGTCGTCGTCCACGCAACAACAATAAAGAAAACTGCAGGCAATTTACTGTTAAATATCGAATTCCTTCAAGGAAGAACAAAATGCTCCTGTTTGGAGTAAATCATTGCGAATAAAACCATACCGAGCTCAAGGAGTTCTAAAAAGATCTTTTGTTTCTGGAACAATAACCAAAGAAAACCGAGGTGGCGATAGGAAAAAATTCAGCTTTGCATCTCTTAAAAAAGCGGTACAAAATTTTATAAAAAAAATTTCAACCTTTGGAGGCCCATTACTCCAGAAGAAAAATTAAGCAGCGTATATAGTATATACAAGGTGGCGCAAAATAAAGTCCCCTATTTGTTTTTTATATAAAAGTAAGATTAATTAAAACACAGTAATATTATAAATGAAAAATATTTATTTAAACTCTAAAAATTTGTTTTGTTACACACTAAAAACAATATCGACCAAATAGCCACCCCAACATTAATGCAATAATGAGCTCTTTTTAAAGCATTTTTATTAACTTTCTCCACCATTTCAGGTGGTATTCTATTAATTTCTTCTCGGATGTTGTCTTTTAATGCTTCTAGTGTTCGAGGATTATTTACAAATGTCCTATCTTTGAGGTAACTCCATAACCAAAAGTCTGGAACAGTTAAGGAGGTCCTTTCGCCACACCTCTCGCCTCAAATGTTAAAAAAAAAGTTATTAGATTATGACTAAAATTAATTTTTTTCTAATAGTTGAAGTCCATATTTATCTAATACTCTACTTTTAACTATACCTTACCTTGCAAATTTTTGAAAAATTTTTTTTTTAAATGTGAGTATTTGTACAGTGCCTCGCGAGAAAGTAAGTCCTCAACAACAATTCTCGAATTATACTATTATTTATTGATTAGATGGAGTAGAAAAAAACTAAAAATAAGGTTTTTGAAATATTTAGATTTTGTTTTATACAATAAAATATATATAGTAAACCGTGGAACTTATTGAGAAATTAATATTAAAAAATCACAAAAAATTTTCAAGTATCCTAGTTGAAAATTTTTTGTGATTTTTTAATAATAATTTCTCAATAAACTCCACGGTAACCTATATATTTTATTGTAAAAAACAAAACCTAAATATTTCAAAAACCTTATTTTTGGTTTTTTTCTACTCCATCTAATCAATAAATAATAGTAAAATTAACTATAATTCGAAAATTGTTGTTGAAGTCTTACTTTCTCATAAGACACTGTACACACACACATTAAAAAAAAAAAAATTTCTCAAAAATTTGCACGGTAAGGTATAGTTAAAAGTTCACTATTAGATAAATAAGGACATCTACTATTAGAAAAAAATTAATTTTAGTCATAATCTAATATTTTTTATTTAACATTGGTGACGAAAGGACCTCCTTAAATCGGGATACCTCGGCGGATATGCAATATAGACGTTGTTCGAGATAAGGCGTCCAGGAAAAATTCTGATAATCGACGAATTATTTTGACAAAAAAATTTTACGATTTCGGCACGTTCTCGAGGCGTATATCGATTAATAATGAATTTCCCAAGTATCTACTTTGCAACTGACAAAAAAACTAGAACAGATGTCAACTACAAACGAAACCATGACAACATTCTATAGGGTACTTGATTTTGCGTCACCTTGTATTTATGTATATTTTCCTAGTGTATTTTTTTGTGTTCGTCGACGTGTTTGAGTGAGTTTTTTATGTTTTTGTGTTTTTATAAATTTTTATTTTTTTATTATGTATGGTTGTGTCTTCTTGTTCATATTTTTCGTTTATATCACACCTTCTGTTTGTTTTTTAAAAATGTGTTTAAAGTTTTTTTTATTTTAGTTCTTGTCCTTTTTGTTGGGTTATTTTATTTATTAGAGACTTGTTAATTTGTATTGCTCTTTAATTTTTCATTTTCTTTGTTTTCCAACAAACAAATATTCTAATTTTTTTTCTAAATTTACCCCTTTCTATAGAATTGTGTAACGTCCATGCATGTTATCTATATAATATGGTGAAATTAGAGATTTATGCAGACCATAAAAAAAATTGTCATAATTTATGAATTTATAAATGTTGTATACTTACAAACAACACCATTGTTTGTAAGTATGCAACCGAATATGCAATATTACTATTTTCTTCTTTTCCTACAATGGATATTTTTGTCTGAAGATGGCCCAATAATGCCGAAACTAGTCGCTTAGTAATCATACAATAAATTGTGTGGTATTGATTTTTGAGTGTCATTATTTCTACATAAATGTGAATAATTGGCCTGTTGGTTAGGATCAGTGTTATTTATCTAGAAAAAAATTATAACATATTTAACCAACAGATTTGTTTTGATAAATATATATTCTAAAAGGGAAGTTACGCCGTCTTTTTTAATCTACTTAGTATTATTGTACTAATTTTAAAGAATGATCAATATCACAAAAGGTCTGATTTAGTAACCACATTTTAACGACCAAATAGATGTAAATATATAAACTGAGTAGGTAACGTTCTAATCTAATTATTAAACATTTTATTATAGTGTACTGAGAGTAGGAAACAAGCAGAGAAAACTTCGAAATATCACAATAATAACGATCGTTTGTTGGAAATTTTATATGATCATTTCGGCGAAATCATCGAAATCATATAGAAT